GATAATAATACAAAATCCTAATAAAATTTCATTATTTATAAAATAATTTTGGACAAAATCGAAATTTTGAAATTATCCGCACTGAAATTTTGGCCGAAGGAGCTCAGCCTCCCACACCCTCGAGAGGGGTCTTCCTGGGGGATGAGCTTGACATCAATATTAGATACGACTTCTTCAACAATATAAAAAAGGAGAAAGTTAAGAAAGTTTGTATTCAACAATGCTTGCAAATATTATTTTATTTTTTGTGATTGAATTTCCCAACATCATTTACAAGAAGACAACAAATAAGGAATAATTCCAGCTTTCCCATCATCTTGAAGCACGCTTCACTACAAACATTTTTCTTACAGACTATCTTCTCAACACATCAACACTAGAAGCAATGCACAAAATCAGAGGTTGAAACTTCATCCATCGTCTATATTCTCACCATATGACGAGTTTTAATCCCAATAAAGCCATTTCTAAAACACATGACTTCCTCCTGTCAAATGCATCCACAACATATCACTGTTATACGCTACTGAGTAATTGAATGAGAATCCATTCAGGCAACTTATTCTGATTATAACAACGAATTAGGGATGCCATCGGAACACAATAGCAACTAACACGATAATAACACAAACTTTCGCTTTTCTTCACAAATTCTGTTTCTGGATGACACAATGTAGTAGTCTCTTTCCCTTCCACACACTTTTGATCCTCAAAAGAGAAGAAAATAATCTGTGTGAATCGAATCTATGTGTGTGAAGTTATTTATGTTACCGGGACGAGAATCCAGGAGCTAGAGCTGTGTCTATCAGAAAGGCAACCTTCTTATTTCAACTTGAATCATTCTACTCTTTTCATATTTTCACCTACTTGTGTTTTTTTTTTTTTTCCATTACTGTATAAAGTATGCTTGGACTGCCTCAACTACTGGTGCCTTGCACATTGGACATTTCCCGGTACTTTGGACCAATATTTGTGCACATTTTGAACAGGTGCACACGTGTCCACACCTGTATGAGAAACAAATATCATTTTTCAAAAATGAACTCGCAACGGTCCATATGGACAAAGTTATTTTCTAAAAAAGAATGTCTTTCTAGAAAAGTAAGTTTTGTTAGTAGAAAAAGCAAATTTGAAAACTATTTGTTAGTAGAAAAGGCAAATTTGAAAACTATGTTTGGAAAAATAAGTAAAGAAAATTTTGTAATTCCATACCTGTAGAGCAAGGAATCTATTTGGCTATCATGACACAGACAACATATTCCTTTCTTCACGTGATCCCATTGACATTCATCCTTTGGCACAGTGCCTTCAAGCTTATCTACATTCATAATAACGTGGAACTGGTCAATTCATACTAGAGAAGATAAAGAAGCCATATATAAAATAGGAAGACAATAGGAAGCGAAGTGGCAGGAATTAGTTAAAGAGATACTTTTTGCTGCAGGAAAAGTAATGCAGGGAGAAAAGCTGAATTTAATTCAAAATTACTAATATTAACACTCCCGCCACCACCACAAGCCACCCAGCACGACATCTAACCTGTAGATAAATTAGACCGATTTAAGGCAGCAGAAACCTCTTGACGCAGTGTGCGCTGAAATTCTATTTGCATGTCCATGCATGCCTCGAGCATCCTCTGCATATTGTCCATCCTGTGCTGAAGCCTGGCCATATCAACTCTCAACTCATTGATGACCTCCCAGTCCTGGAATGTTCATCAGCAGAATAAGTGCTTATCATAAGTTAAACGTAAGCAGGGGGAAGCTCCAGAAAACTCAATTAACCAAATGTGGGAAAATAGCTTATTAAAATTTTGTCGCCTACGATATCGATTTAACTAAACAGAAATAATAAATAAAATATGAAAGAAAATTTACATGCCAAGCTACGAGAGCAGAAGTGTGACACGGCATCCAAAGGATAAGATGGTCAAACAACCCAAAAAATGTATCAAATAATTTTACCATGTCCATTAGATCTAAGAAGTATAAATTTCAAGTAGGCCTCAGGGAAATTCATTAATTCGTCCCCAAACAAGATGGACATATATGTCTTAAAACTCTTGCCATATTAGGGGAGGTTCTTCGTACACGATTCTTAAATGCTATTAGGTTCTGAAATTAGCTGACACGACCATTCACATCTCTTTCACTTAATGGAATCAAGTAATTTGACTAACCAAATCCAGTATTTCAATCTATATTGAAATATCCAATCTCAATTTAAAAAAGTAAAGTGAGTTCACCAATGGAGGAGCTTACAATTCCCAAGCGCTGTTCAGGGTTGTTGCATGGCCAGTTTGCATCCTGCAATTCTTCATCGGAAAGTGGCTGTAAAGCATTGCCGAGTGGAGAGGAGAAAACAAATGGATTTCTTTCTATGCCATCCTGAGCCAAGTCTTGATTACCATTTATCTGTTCTTCGACTTGTTCAGTGGAGGCAAGAGAAGAAGATGCATTGTCCAACTCCCAATCACTAGAAGCATGACCTTGCCTTTCCACGTGTGATTGTAGAACCCGGTTTAGACTTTCACGGAAACCACTTCGAAGAAGACTAGAAACACGTCTCCTGCAGCACAAAGAGATGTTCAGAACAAAAATCAATAGTTTACCCAAAATTCATTGAATGACAGAAAAAGTTCAAGAATGACAAAATAATTACCGGCTGAAAACCCCCCTAAGTTCCATGCTGTAAACATTATCATCATCTGGGAAGTAAACTCCTCCAATTCTTTCAGTGGATGCACTGTCTTCTCCAGAAGGCGCTTCTAACCAACTGCCAATAGTCTCTTGCATGTCATGACCTTGCCAATCTTCATGTGATTCTTGCATCTGACCATGCTCCACACCATCATTACCAGATGTTTCTTGAAACCAATGATTAGCAGAGTTTCCCTGCCAACCTCTATCATCTGTCCACTCACTAAATGAAACACCGGTTAACTGTTGCCAGCTACTTTCTTCATTCTCAATTACTGACTCATCCACTTGAGCTGAAGAGTCTTCCCAGTCAAATTCTTCATTTACATTTCGTTCCACATTATCAGAGTAACCAGCTACCTCATGGGCATAATTTACCTGAGTTCTATGTTCATAATTTTCAGCAAAGACTTCTAGGTGTTCACTACCATCAACATCCACATTTTCCAATGACCGTTCATTGGCAATATTCTCCGTGGTGGTTCCAGTGTCATTGATCTCTATATCATGTCTAATACCAGCCTGTTCAACCTCTGTTGACGCTTCTTGCAAAGTTCCCTCATTGTCCAAAACTGGCTCCTCTATTTCAGAAGTATGTTCTATAACAAACTCCAGTTGAATGATGTTTTCATGTGTGCCTCTTTCTGAGTATCCTGCTGGAAGAATCACAGTGGTATCCCTTTTTTCCCTGAAAGCAAGCGGTGATTGACCATTGATAACCTCGTGTTCATCTATATGCCCATTATTGCTGTTTGTCAAAATCTGAGCAGAATTGTCCGATCTGGAGAGGAATCCTTCCCTGTATCACAAAATTATGACATTGAGAAAAAAGAACTCTAGAGAGGAGTAAAAAAGATGATTGTCACTTGACCATAAATATTTTATAGTTCAATTTTCTACAAGCTAATGCCTCCCAGGAGTTTCTACAATCAATGAAAGTATTGGATGGCAGGGAGGGGATTATGATTTTGATATTGCCCATACATTTGGGGACACCGCTACTTATTTCAGGGTAAAGATGAATTAATTTAGAGCACTCATTCTAGCACTTCAGATGTACAGCTCATCCTCATATTTTTTGGCTCCTACTCCTACCTTATCCAAGAGCTACATAATTTTGTGTGTATGGATCAAAACATGTATACAAGCATAAAACTATAGAGATCATCAATGTTATTGTAATTCAAAGATTTGATGGTTATCGTATAAATTCAATAAAAACAGGGCAGATATAGAAGGGAAGAAATTGAGGAGCAACACAAAAGAAGGCTGACAGGATAAATATTATTATACACTGCCAAGTTCAAATAAGTAATGTATATCTTTTTTTTCCCTCGGTATCTTAAAATCTTAAAATATCTATAGCATATCACTAGAATCTACCTGAGGTTTGATACTGCATGTCTTTGACTCAGAATACCCAATTCAGTTGCAGCTATTGAACATGGTCTCTCATCCGAGATTAATCTTTCATTTCGAAGGAACCTACCACGAAGTAATGCCTGCAATAGACATGTGGACTTAATGTGGGTGAAAGAGTTTTTCTATTTATAGATTTCACAATGACTGACCCTAACATTATGCAGTATATGCAGATCCATAAAGTTAGCTCATATGCAGATGCATAAAATTAGATAATTGTGCTATAAGAAACAACAATGATATGAAAAAATTGTAAATTTGCTCTATAGACATGTCGGTCGAGCCCACAAGAACTTGACCAAGAAGAGTTATGTTACAAGACACAATATTAATAGATGTAAATGCTCACGTCAACATAAAGGGAAATATTAAGGATAACCAGTCATACCTGAATGCGGTTGCGATGAGCAAAGTCTGACACTGGCCTCTGCTCGGACAAATCCTGAAGTTCTCTTCTTCTTTCCTCTTGGGCCATCAGAAGAAGATCAAGAAGAGTCTGTCTGCCACATAATCTTCGAATGGGCCTCCGTGCACCAACCTCAGAATGATTGATTGCCAAGCCATCATGCACCTGCTCAAATTGAGAACCAATTTCAGCATCTCCATCTCTATGTGAGCCACAACTGCTCCCCTGCTGGGTATTCTTCTGGACCCTTTCTCTTATGACTCTCACCCTTTCACACTCGTTCTCCGCAAGCCATTGTGGCCCTGATCGCTTGTCCATACACGGATCAGTAGCAGAATGACTCTTAGCACCACTGTTCATCCATTCGTGAAAAATTTGTCTTACTCGTTCTCTTTCAAATTCTCCAAAATCAATAGATTGTTCAGAAATAGTGCTGTTCCTGTCCTCATAGTCATTCTCCAACCTGATTCGGCCTTGATTCTCAATCTCACTGGCATCGTCAGAGCTATAATCCCCGTTATCACTCCTTTGTCCATCTGAAGTGATCGTACTCAATTGGTCAGAATCTGAAGCATCACTCCTCAGTGGCCTTGGTCTAGGAGAATGACCCACTACATGCTCACTCTCAATCTCCCGCCACATTTGCAAAAGAGAGGATGCCCTAGTGTTAGGCTGGTCTGGTTGTTCTTCACCCCATGTCCTTGGCACAGGAGACAGAGACTCCCCAAAGAAAGGAGGACTATATGCCAAAACATTTTGCAAACCCGCAACAGCCATTTGTATCGAACTTATCACAGTAGGACAAAGTTTTGATTCTCAGCCGTGATATACAACTCACAAGACTCATAAACCACACATATTATTGTAATGAATCAATAGATGCGTTCAGTCTGCAGAAACTTATTTCATATGGCAGAAGCCGCAGATTAGATCTGCACTCCACTGGTACTCCAAAGTGAATGAATACATATTTGAAATAGCTGCAAAATATGATCAAAGGGTCAAGAAATACATTGCTCGATTGTTAATTACAAATTTAATCTGCCCCTTCCGACAAGCAATCTAAAGATACAAAATTTGGCATTTTATAAAAGAAAAGTAAAAAGGATAAATGGTTTGCAGATCCCTCTAGACGATGACAAATGACAACTCACCCGTAAGGAAAAGGAAACAAAAAGTAATCTGCCAGAATTCATATTACTGAAAACATTAAAACTGAAACCCAGCACAAAATCCGAATAGATAGGTAAAAAAGATTAAATCAATTAATTTCAATACAAAATCTTCTTCCGGATGGACATGATCTGCCTCTCCAACAAAAAAATTGCTACAACCCAAACAAGACAATTACAGAATCTGTAGAAACATATACACAGACGTTCACACATGAACATAAGATTATATCATTCATTATTTCACAACAAACTCATAAAAAATCAAACAGAGAGAGGTGAAAATATAATGAAAATAGTACCTTTTTACACCTACCATGCAGCAGCCCAATAAATTCAAATCAAGAACTGTACAGATACAGATCAAGCGAGAAAATTCAAAGAGCGGGGAAGGTTTCGGTTGGGATTTATGAATAATAGTAATTGAGAGAGTGAGTGAGGTGACACGTTAGGAAGCGTATAATTTATTCTAAGCAACATTTCCTTAAAATTTTGCCGTCACTCTAACGTCTATATTCTTTTCTTGGTGCCCTGTAAAACAGGAATTTTTTACCCGAGACAATATGACGCGTGTTAAAGTTTCTCGACGATGAATCTAACGGTAAGAAATGCAGCTGGCGGGGCATTTTGTGGTAGGTAATTTTCTAACGTGGAACCTTCTTTTGGTACGCAATTCAATTGCGTGTAACCTATAAATATGTTTGATTAATTTAATTTTCAATTTAAAAAATGTTATATTCATTCAATTTTTAGTAGAGGATAGATGGGAGAAGGTGAATAAATAAAAGAGTAAACTACTTGAAAATCATATCTCACTAAAGAAAATATTTTTCTTGTTTTCAAAAAAAAAAAATGGTCACATGACCAAAAGTAAGAAAACATTTTTCGTGATATAAATTATCAATCAAATTTCACAAAGTATGAAATTAAGTGGAAAAAACACATTTTTCATGAAAAATATTGACAATCAAATGTGCCCTTAGGGTTTTCTTGTGCCAGGTAATAAATTATCATAAGTATATTTTTCTTGAATATCCTTTTGATAAAAATACTGGGTCTAGAATATTTTGGATTTTTGGGAAATGAGTTAGAATAAAATCGAATTAAAAGCTTTGATCGCTATATAATATCGCTCATGTCGATTGTAAGTTGTTCCATGTCCCACGACATAATTATATATATTTAACGATTTATTCATTACGTGTGTCACTACTAATAAGAGATTTATAGACAATCCGTTACCATTTGATAAAGTTTCATAGGATTCAAATTTCAAATTGAGTGAATTAGTTTAATGCATATTATTAAAATACAATTAAATTAATTATTAGTAACTACAGCTATTTATTCATTAATATTAGATAATAAAACGTTTACGAGGAAAAGAAGAGTAAATTCTTTAAAAAAAACCGCTATCTTGAAAAACAGAACCTGCTTGTTTCGAGAGTTTGTGGAATGCTTCGTATGTAAGAGCAGACAAATATGCGAAAAATAGAAAATGAGCTTCACCATAGCGCTTTCTTGAGCGCTTAAACATTTTGAATTATTAGTTTTTGCTTTATCCAAATAATTAGACATGCTGCAACATGTTACTATACTAATAATTGTAGCAACGGTTTCAAACCTTATCCATTTAATCGTTAGTTGATCAAAAAAATTAATTTTGACCAAATTTGACAAGGAAAAATTGCATCAGCAGTCCCTAATCTTTTCAATTTTTGCAGACTTTATTCTAAC